AACATGAATAAAAGTTTGGTATTATAATGTAATGAATAAAAGTTTATGATAGAGAACATGTGCATGCCGATCGGAACCGTTTTGATGGGACTTGATGCGTGTCAATTTATTGGTGAAAACAGTTCTAATCCCGCATTGCTAGTATGCACGAAAACCTTCACTAGAAACGCCTCGCAGTACAGTACGCGCTAACAAGCTAAAGCTCAAGCTCATTGTTTCCTATCGACCAAGATGATACAGTAAAGTTCAGTTTAGTTAATGTAGTGTAATGTACATTAACCATGATTTAAACATCCTCGCGACCATGGTGCTTTTCACCATGGTCGGATTCTTTCTCTCCGGTGCGTTGACGTTTTGTCGATGGGGCTGAGGATGCTCCAGTCGATGCAGCAGTCGATGCTGCGGCAACAGAGGATGGAGGACCGTATGATTGTTGCTGGTAAGAATGGTAAGGAGGAGGAGGGGGACCATGGTAAGAATATTGTTGTTGTTGCCAACTATGGAACATGGTAACAGCGGCTCCGAGGAATTTTTCTGCTATTTCCTTCAACTTGCGGTTCTCATTGTCTCTTCTTTCCTCCCTTTCATCCAGGCTCCTCTTGTATTCTCGGTTCTCTCTGTCTCTTCTTTCCTCTCTTTTTTCCTGGTTCTTAATGTAATCATTGAATACAGCAGCATCAGGGACACTAGATTTTCTCTGAGCTTGCTGATAATATCTCTTCTTCTTACTAGTAGGGGTCGATTCAACAAGGGAGGGTGTCAAGTTACTGGAAGAACTGCCTACACCAGCTGCGGAGGCTACAGGTGCGGAAGCTACAGCTGCAATCTGTTCTGGCTCTACTTCATCAGGGTTGTCGGTGGACACGTCTCCAGCAAGAATAATGGAAGCGCTGTCACCAGAGGAAACTCCATGTCGAAGAAGCTCTAAACCTGCCACAGCCTCACTCTTAGCATATCCTTCCGTGATATCAAAGTCCTCCTCTCCAGTTCCAAGATTTGCCTTTTCACCAATCAACTTGTGAGCTAGCCGGGCAAGCTGCACATACTCTGGCATGTTGGGATTTCCCGTGGAGCTCTTGATCCTCTTTACAGCTGCATACTTAGTTTTGAGGGAGGTCGTGGTCCTACCAACGGGCCAACTCTCTGCATGCTTTGCTGTAATATACTCCCATCCCTCACCACATACAGGGATTACATCCACAATCAGTCTCATGAGACTGGTGATCTCTGCTCGGGAGTAGTTAATAGTGCCACTCTTTCGGCCTCCGCCTCCTCCTCCAGCACCAGTTTTATCCATCTTAACAAATATAGTGTGGGGAATTGGTGGACAATGGTGGTGGAGTCGTGTTCCCTCCTCCTCTTTGAGGGGGCCGGCCTCCTCCTTCTCGTGGGCCTCCTCCTTCTCGTGCTCTCTTTGCTGCAACAAAGAGAGGAAATAGAATGCACTGACTAACAGCACAGATCGAGACATACTACTTTATGTCTTGGGCGCCATTGGCGCCTTCTTGTATGTCATTTCGATACTTGTTTAGAAAAGAGTATGTTTGGCCGGGTCTTAGTAATTTTGGCGGGCCTTTCTGTTGAATCTTTCAACGGACTCGAAATTTTGATTCGTGGGTTCCGTAATAGATTTAGCACATTTAGAATGGGGTCAGTTGACCCATTCTAAAAATGCTAAATCTATTACAAAATGTGCTAGATTTTTCGTCCGTCCGTCTATCAAATTTAGCATTTCTATAATATCGGGAATCACCCATTATTATGCAAAGGCCGCGGGAAGTTTTCAGATTTTCTTTCGACTTCTACTTCTACCTTACTATTCGCACCGTCCCGTACGGTATAATTTAGATGGGTGTGCAACGCGCACGTTTTTCAGCATCAGGATGAAAAAAATTCCATTCCATCCGCAGTACCAAGAAGAAAAATTTCCCATGAACTTTTTTTTTTCATTTTATTTTTACTGCATAATACTATGGGTTTCCTAACAATTGAAACCGGCCTCGAAAGAGAGCAAAAAGTAATAATTTCAAGTTCTTAACTTTGATTTGAAGTTATGAACTTTTGCTCGTACATCATGTACCACCAGGTTCTACTGAGCTAGTTTTTTAAAATGACTGCTGAATGGCTGA